CAACAGTTTTGTGCTGGATGCCCATCCTGACCCAACACATACATAGCAACCCCTTCAGACTTTTACCTGTCTTAAGCCTCAAAAATATGTAATTTTCACAAAAAAATCTGCATTATTCACACGCTATACAATGTGTTTACAACAATCTGTGAGATTTCTCCATACGTCTTTGTCTATGTCTGCAAAATGGGGGGAAATCCATGTAATTTATGGACAATCTGTACAACTTGACATAACCTGAGCTCGAACCWGCAACCTCAGGATTACAAGACCATGACACTGACCACCACACTACTGCAGTTCTAACACTACATTACTACATGTTTTGAAATATGTAAAAAAAAAAAAATATATATATATAAACATTTAAAAAATGGGTATTCTTGCTGTACTTAATAATAATTCCCAAAGGTAGAACGTTGCTTTAAACACTAAGTTGAAGTTGCCATCAGTTGAAAAGAAGCTGTTCAGTGAAGACAGACTCCGTGTAACCAGGTCAGTTTTAAAAATTAACAAYGCTGTTCTTGGAGCTCGGAGTCGATTGTGTTTTGTTCTAATGGAAGATGTCAGCAGAGTCYAGTAAATCCCGAATGATTCAGGATGCTAACATCACATCCTGTCMGTAGTTGTGAAGTGATGATGATGATTTTAGCAGAAACATGACTGGCCAAACCGGTAAGAATTGTAATGAGGGGATTATGAAAAACTGCTTTTATTATGCCATAATCTAGACTGTTGTTTTTATAATGAAAACAATCAAATTAAAGAAAATGGAAGATATAGTACTTTTATTAAATTTTAATACTAATTTTATTACCAAAAACTTGATTTTCAACACCAGCAACTATGAAACATGGACAAACATGAAAATTGTCCTTGTATTTCAGTTTGTTTGCAAAATATCTTAAAAACCAGTAGATATGTTCAGATGGTAATCATTAAAATAGCTAAATATTATCAATCATTAAACCTACACTGATTAATTTTCAAAGTCAGGTTGATTTAAGATGTTCACCACAGCTAATCACACTGAGCACAAATAGCTGAAACTCAGTCATTTTTACTGATATTGACCTTAATTTTGCTGTGGCAGTAGCTGAAAGTCAATGTAACTACATTATTAGAGTGGTCGATCTTTGTTTCAAAAGATGCATTTCTTCAAGGATTCTACTTTTATTATGATTTAATTTCTATTAAACATAGGTGAAATGGGTTAAAGTAGCTGTAGTCTGCTCTGGGATGATTATATCCAATCAAAATGCCACCTTCATTTCATCAAAATTACGCTGAGAAGTTTCAGCAACAGAGTTTAACATTTTGAACAAGCACACAGTTGCAAACATAAAAACAAACATCTACATTTGCAAAAGCTTCAGCTGAAACTGAAGGAGCAGTAAATATGATCCTCTGTTCGACCTCTGCCATGTTTACACTCAGGTTCCTGCGGAGCTTCATTACCTTTGTCTCCTCACAGCGGTGAAGGTGACACATGTCAGTGGCTTCTTCCACAAGAAACCAGAACTCCTCCTTTCTTTGCCAAGCTGCCAACAAACTCCTGTTTTCCCTCATAGCTCAGGTGGATAGATCCCACGGGAGCAGAAGCCTGGGGAAAAAAAAAAGGTAAATCTGAAATCGTATGCAGAAAGCAAAGAAAAAAAGTGTAGCACATCACTGATCAGGAGAAAAAAGGAGGTTGTTGAGAGCAGTAAAGGTGTCAAGAGAACACAATCCAGGTCACGAAAGTTAGAAGGAATTTGCCATCCTGCAGTTTTTACCTGCAACCTTCAGTAAGCGAGGCGCGGTGGAATAAACCCGTGAAGGCCGGATGAGCGCTCGGTGCCCCTGGCCTGCTGCCATGTGGGTCAGCTTGGGCAGGAGGGTCAAGCTGCTGGAGTAGAACGACGCTTTGTGAGTCGTTAGGTGAGATCCCAGAAGGCCGGCCTCATCGGTGTTCAGAGTGGAGGGCAGCTGATCCGGGGTCTCTGTGCCAAGCAGGCTGTAAGAGACGCTGCCCTTCGTTTAACACCCAGCCAGTCACTCACTTCATTTTCTTCACAGCTATTCAGATGGCCGGGCCTTTTTCTGTCATCACTCCAGTTCTGAAAAACTGATTTAATTTCCTTCGTAATTCAAAGGATGCTTTTCAGGAAATGATTTCCCCCCCTATAATCCACACTCAACCAGGAATTTGGAGCAGAAAGCCCCAACCTCTCCTGTTTCCAGCTCTTTTTCTTTGCGTTTGCTTAAAAAAAAAACCTAATAGTAYCTATAGAATGAGGGTAATTCAATTCACATTTTCATTTTCTTTGCTAATAAGATGAAATTTCATCATCTTTTCTTATTATAGATGGATCAGTCGATGATGTAAACACGAGTTATGCCTATGGGGGGTAGCTTTTTTTTAAAACTTGTTCTTGAGATAAAGCGTCTCCAGAGCTCACTGTCTTGGCTCAGAAGTTGTTTTTCCTCTCGCAGTCGTGGATTGAAGATTTTCTGAATATCATGACGCCTGCTGGGTTACAGAACTTAAGAAAAAAGAAGGAAATACTTTTTTCTCCCCAATACTTCTTCACACGCGGGCTCGAAGCGAACTCCTCTGCATCCAGATCTGCCAAACACAACACGGCTGATGAGCTCCGCTTTCCTTCTTTCTGCCTCTGAGCTGAGTGATGTCAGTCACAGAGAAGACGCCTTATTGCTCTCATTAGGACTAAAAGCTCTTAAACCACTTTTCATGAAGAGTCTGTGCATGTACTGAATACCCCTTTGTTGTTGGTTTTTGAAGGGTATTGAATTACGTGATTGATTTTTGTCTCATAAAAACTTGTGGAATCATGAAAAAAGGGTCTGCAGACTGAGCTGATGTAAGCAGCTCGCTGTGTTTCATCAATCAAAACGAAACTTTCAGTGCGGTAAACTTTACTCAGCTTCAACTTTATTAATTGCAATCGTAGGCAGAAAAATAAAAAATGCAACTTTGTTTCAGTTTTAGGGCTTAACATTTCAGAGCCTAATATTAATGACCTGCTTCTAAAATTATTCAAATTGAACCTCAATTGCACCAAAAACACACAACCGATTTCACAAAGTTATTTATTAAACAAAATGAAGCTAAAATAAAGAYTTTTTGTGAAAAATTCAGTCTACCCCATGGTTCTCCAGGTTATAGAAACTCTTATTATAGTTAAGTCATGGTTTTCTGTAGGACTTAATCTTCTCGTATGGTTGCAAAGGAATTTTGTCCCATTCTTCTTTTCAACGTTGCTTCAGTTTATTGAGGTTTACACACATTTTGTCAGCACAGCTCTTTTAAGGTCTCCCACAGCATTTTATTTATATAGTCACAACACTGAGGGCACTGTACATAAAACAAAGGAAGCCAGCAGATTGCGTTGAATCTTGAATTCGTCACAGCCTCTCATCCTGAGCAGCACGTTGGCGACAGTGAAAAGGAAAAATCCCCTTTTAACAGGAAGAAACCTTCAGCAGAACCAGAACCAGGCTCAGGATGAGAGGCCYTCTGCCTCGACCGGCTGGGTTTGYGAGGACAAACACAGTTTCAAGAAGCCCCATTTCAGTGGAGTTGAGGTCTGGACCCTGACTGGATCATTTCAGTACCTCTACTCCATCCTTTTCTTTTTCAGCTTCTCTTTTGTAGATTTGCTGCCTGGTTTTGWTTTGTTGTCTCGTTGCATCACGACTCAGCTGTTGGACAGATGGTCTCACATTTGACCCAAAAGTCCTTTGGTTCACTGCTGAGTCAGAGACCTTAAAGATGGCCAGGTCATCACTTCTCCTTGACGGTATGAGTGGTCTGGGCTGATGTTCTGTTTGCTTGGGCAGCACAGTGGGTTAGTGGTTAGCACTGTTGCCTCACAGCAAAAACATCCTGGTTTTAAGGTTTGGAGTCTTTACAATACAATACTACTTTATTTATAAAGCACTTTAAAAACAACACTGTTGACCAAAGTGCTGTACATTATTAAAAACACTACAAGCAGACATAAAAACAATTAAGTATAATAAAAACAGTTTGTGTGTGTAGTTTGCTGGTCCTCCTCGTTGTTTACCAGGGTTTTCTATGGGTGCTCCATTTTCCACCCACACTCCAAACCATACATGTTTACACTACTCGCTGCCCCAGGACTCCCTCAAAATAAAAATAAAAAGATTTATCTCAGTGGGTTTTGCCTGGTTAAACAAAAGGTCAATTACCCCGGTAATTAAAATAAATATTTTTGTCAAACATGGTGCCGTGCATCTCTCTCTTGTTCCAGAAGTCTTGAGGTTCTTTCAGATGCAGCTTTACAAATCCAGGTTTTCTACATCCAAACAAGCCATAAYTTTAGTTTTTCTGTCATGAACTTTAACATTTAACCTGCCAACTGAGGCCTGTAGAGTCTGAGACGGAGCTCTGTCTTTAATGTCTTGAAGCACGGTTTGACCTTGAGGTGAATTTCTCCAGAACATCCTCTCCTAGGACAGTTTTCTACGTTTGGATCATTTTCCTCACTGTAGACTGATGGACTCTCAAATAGTTCAGAAATGACCATGATGGGCAGAAGCAGCTGCGACTCTGAGGTCATTGTGTGAGGACKCACCTGTGTGCTCCAGAGCAGCAGGCTGACTYAYCTCCTGCTCTCATAGAGGTGGACACTGACGATCAGCTAATTCAGGATGGTTGAGGCTTTTCCCTCCTAAATCATGGATTTGGTTTATTTTTCCACACAGCTGTTTCCGTTTAGTTTTTGTTCAGTAAAAATGAACCAGTAAAATTTGTTGAAGACCAAATTATTTTATTTTCTCCTCATATAAAACCTCAGAATCAAAAGGAACTTCAACAATAACACTTTTTTTTCTTTCTTCACCTGATGAGAGCTCCCCTCTCCTGTCTCGAGTCTTCATGCAGAAAGTAATTTGTGGCACAATAGAGACGATCATGAATGCTAATACGGGGCTGTGTGTTGCATTTTCTCTAATTAGTCATTTTCTCCCCTCAGCCTTGAGCCAACTCCCCCCTCTGCCAAGATCCAAACTGCAGCTCAACCAGATGGTGAGTTTCTGCTCCTGCTGATGCGTAAAACTAACCCCGGCAGCATCTGTTGGAGGTTGAGCTAACACATTCTCACTCTCACATGTCAGCACARGACGCGACACCAGAGTCCGTCACCGCTGACATCGTGCTCAAAAACACCTGAAAGTGTTGCTCCTTCTGCTTCCAGGCTCCAAGACGGCGGCGGCGGGCGGTTCTGGTCCGTCCTGCCGACCMCCGTGGGTCACCGACCCCGGATTCGCCGACCGCTACCGCCCGGATAAAAGCAGCACGGTGGTGACCCAGCACCAGCAGCTGGTCCAGCCCACYCCCATGGAGAACCGCAGCTCCATCCTGCAGGCGGCGCAGCAGCRGCCCGAAGGCAGCGGGAGGACCCCCGTCTGCGGCGCCTGCAACAAAATCATCAGGTGAGCCCGCCCGCACCAACAGCTCCCAGAATAATAAACAGCACGTCGGCTCCGCTCAGAGGCCCGGTCCAGATGGATTATCTAAGCGTCTGCAGCAAGTTGACGTCTTCTGTCACAGAGGACAAGTTTTCTCTGAGACATCAGTTCCTGTTCAGGTCACAAGTTAACCCGAGACGACGTTTTCCATGGCAGGGATCAGGATGTATCAGGGTTCAGCTCTGATTTCAACATGTGTGTGTTCGTTCCAGGGGCCGGTACCTGGTGGCTCTGGGACGCTCCTGGCACCCAGAAGAGTTCACCTGCTCACAGTGTAAGTCGGTCCTGGAGGAGGGGGGCTTCTTCGAGGAGAGGGGCTCCGTCTTCTGCACCAAGTGTCACGATAACCGATACGCTCCCAACTGCGCCAAGTGCAAGAAGAAGATCACAGGGGTGAGCGCTAACAAATATTATATCTGCCCCTTTTCCTAAAAAAAAAAAATCAATTCAATCAAAAATAAACTTTAGTTTACGGGAAAAAAAAGGAAAAAATAAAGGTTTAACTCCTGAACAACAATTCATACATTCACATATTTCTCCCATTATCATTCTTATAAATAGACATCTTTTGAGAGCAGGCACAACATCTATGCCTCTGTWAATCACCAAAAACCTCACAGTGTTCTCTGAAATAACTTGAAACCGGCAAAAGTAATAGTAGATAAAACTTTGCGAAAAACTACACCAATGAAAATCACTCATTGCTTTTGATTTTTGGTTCAACAGAACTGTTTTAAGAAACAGCTCTGGGCAAAAATGATGGTGCCTCTAGAAGGGATGAGGGAAGTTCTGGGGCTGCTTTGCTGCAGCTGGCACAGGGTGACTTGAATCTGGGCAGGGTACGATGAAATCTCAAGACTATCAAGGCATTCTGGAGAGAAAAGCGCTGCTCAGTGTCAGATTGGTGCCAGTCACAGATCATAAGTCTTCCAGCAGGATAATGATCCAAAAACTCAGCTAAAAACTCACAAGAATGGATCAGAACCAAACTTTACTGTTCTGAAGTGTCTCTTTGAGCCTGGATCTAAATCCTGTAGAAGGAGCAGAGACATCTCATCTAAAGAACCACTTGTGGACAGGTGCAGATGTCTGATTAACAAATACAGAAATTGTTTGATCGCCTCAAAATGTTGAGCAACTAAATATCCAGTTTTCCACCAATTTTGTTCACGTCTGTAAGTTCTGTGAGCGGGTGTCTAACAAAAAAAAAAGTTGAATCTCTTACCCGTTTGCAGGAGATCATGCACGCTCTGAAGATGACCTACCACGTCGAGTGTTTCAAATGTGCTGCCTGCAAAACTGCCATCAGGAACCAGGCCTTCTACATGGAGGAGGGTGAACCCTACTGTGAGAGAGGTGAGACTGAACCGTGTCAAACTGCTGCAGCGCCTTCAGAATGAACCGGAACACCTCGTTTACTGTGGCCAGATGCACTGACGAAATCACTGCTGTTTTTCTGACGCAACATGTAAACCAGCTCCAAAATAAGGTGTTAAATTGTCTGTGTGCAGAAGTTTTAATCTGCCTCTAATTTCTTTAAGGTTTTMCTTCCAAGCAGCCAAACTTTCTTTTGATCTTTTAAAGTGGTTTTGATCAAAATTTCTTCAGGCTTTCTGAAGGTTATTGAAAGCTTTTCTTTTTAAACCTGGATGTTTTTTTTCAATTGTTTTCTGTTCAGTTCTTGTTCCTGACAGCATGTTGTACAGTTTGTGCTGAAAAAAAAAGGTGGAGGATATAATAAAATATCAGGACAAAAAAAAAATACCTGTAGCAGGTGAGCATTGTCTGAAAGTCATGTCTTTAAAGTGTATCTTACCCCCCCCCGTGAAAAGATAACTCCGCCCCAAGGCGAAATTTGAAAAATGCATCAAAGTGGGTAGGGGAGGGGGTGTGGGTGGGGGAGGGGGGGTTAGAGAGTGGAGGTGTGGCCAGGACGAGAGAACGTGACAGCTAGCATTAGCATAATTGATGCTACATGGAGAGTGACCACAGCGACGCAGATAGTCACATCTCTAAACGGTCTGAGGTGGAGGAAATTATATTAAAGACGTTTAATCCAAACCTGACATTACTGAATACCTTGAGCAGAAAATATGATACGCCGACCAAATTWAAAAAAAATAAAGAAAAGAGAAGAACCTGCTGAGAGTCTGCGTGCAGACTGACTGGTTTCAGCACCGATTGGGAGACGTGAACTCGTGTAGGAGGTGCTGCATCCAGCCTGACAGATTTCCTCTGAACCTGCGCCGATGTCCCCTCACGCAACGTCAACTTCCTGTGGGACGTTTGATCTTCTGACGTCCCACCCAGGCCGCGACGCAGCTTCACAAACGTTTGTCCTTCCTAACAGCAGCTGCCTCCCCTCTGTTCCTCTCCAGCGGGTTTTTTTTGTCAGAGTTCAGTCACGCGCGGCCGCAGCGTCGCCTTCGGCTCCGCGTTGTGAATGTGGCGCCGTCAGTCAGTGTGACYTCTTCATCTGCTGTAATCTCTTTAGCCCCTCTCCACTCCTCTGTTCATGAACCGCGCTCTTCGATTATGTTATAAATATTTTAGCGACCGCGCAGTTCTCACTCACTACAGATGTGAGCTGCTGCTTTATGAGCGGCGAGGCCGAGAACCAGCGAGTCTGAATGATGCTTTTAGCCATGACGAACATCCTGCTGCCTCAGCACTTTGCAGGGGTTGTACAGCTCTCAGCCCCTCGTTCTCTAGGAGCAGTGTTTTACCCCCACACTCCTCCCAGTCCTTGTGATGAAAGCCAGGCGAGTATCGAGGGCAGCCCCCCCCCACCCCACTCCACCTATTATTGCACAAAATCCCCCAAACATCCTCGTCACCAGCGAGGAGCTGGTGTTTCACGTCAGCCATCATCTCTGCTCTGAGTCAGAGACTCAAACTCTAAAACCTGATTTCTGCTCTGAGCGTCAGGAGCGAGCCTCGGACGATGTTTCGAGGTGATGAAACCGCTTTTAAACCTGAATGTTCTTGTCATATTTCCTCTCCAGACTACGAGAAGATGTTTGGCACCAAATGCCACGGCTGCGACTTTAAGATTGATGCCGGCGATCGCTTCCTGGAGGCCTTGGGCTACAGCTGGCACGACACGTGCTTCGTCTGCGCCGTAAGTCCTTTTGATGGATACGCTTTGTCTCGGGCKCGCGTGGTGACGCCTGAACACCCCGCCGCCTCTTTCCTTCTTTCTCTGAACTTCTGAAGCTTCACTTTTCTATCTTTTTTTATTTTATTTTTCACCTGCTGTCTGCCTGCTCCTCTTCTTCCTCACTTCTCTGAAGCAAAGCTGAAAGTGAAACCAGGTGAGTAAACACTGCGCTCACCACTCTGGCCCTGCTGGAAGAAGAAAAAGTTTAAAAAGTGTGCAAATTCACATTGGCACTGGTGGAGTCTGATATGTTTCTCAATCTGTCTGTGTGTCTGTCTCCTTTCATCTTTAAAGCTCTGCCAAATCAACCTGGAGGGGAAGACGTTCTACTCCAAAAAGGATAAGCCCCTGTGCAAAGGCCACGCTTTCGCTCCAGTGTGAGGGGAGCCAGCCACGGCTTCTCCCTCCACCTCCTCATTATCCCCACCCCCACCCCTCTTCACCAGCCACACACAGAGTTCAGCTCAAGCTTCTCTTCTATCCTGAAGACTTTGTTTTTATACTCCAGACTTAACGCCCAGCCCCACCGTCCTCCTCGCGGTGCCTGTAAACTCTCACGCTGTGTTCCATAACCGAGACGAGTTTAAAACGATTTTCCAAAAATACCCCCACCCCCACCCACACCCGTTCAGATTTATCAGCAGCTGTCAGTGAAGAAATGTCCCCCACTCATCCTGGTTTTGGTCTGAAGAGACTTCAAGTCCGTCTCCTCCACTCTGAAGGAGTCATGGAGCCTCTAATAATCACAGATTGAGGTAATGAGCTGCCCGTTCTCCTGCTGGAGACGCAGAGAAGTGCTGACCCRGTGCAGGACCCCCTCCGGCCCACTCATCAGCTACAGCAGCTTCATTTGATAAAACAGAAGCCGGTCGAGCAGAAAAAGGACCTGTTTCTGTCAGATTAAAATTTATATAAAACTGCTGAGGATGTGAGCTGAGTGCAGCTTCATTTGGATCATTCATCAGAATAAAATCCACAATTTGTCACTTTTTTAATGTTAAAATTAATGGAGAACTTGATGTTTTAAATGTTTTACATTCCTGCAATAAGACCATTTGCATTTAAGATCACAGTTTTGGTTGTATAAATACAACTAAAACTGTGATCAAAACTGTGACATAAATGTCAGGAAAATCCGTTCAGTAGATAATTTTTACGTTGCTGCCTGTAAGTGTTGTGCTTCACAGTTTTCACTTTAAACACTGTTTAGTAAAAACTGAACTCATTTTTAACCATATTTGTAATAACTAACAGCTCTGCTAATAAAGCAACCTACTGTTTTTACTCAACCTGTTGAATCCAAATAACTTCATCCACAAGTTTTTACTGCAGCTTGTCAAACAGACGCTAATCAGCATCGTTTACTTCTTACTGGTAAACTTTTTCATGCTGAAAGTTTTCTAAATGAGCAGGTAATTACCATAAAGGCCAGAGGGTCGTTTGTTTCACATAACAGTGTGTGCTGGAGTTTCTCACTAAGTTTTACACAAAAAGTTGAACAAACACTCCCAATCTGTGCTGGTGCTTTAAGGAAACTTTGTTAAACACATTAAATATGAACACTGTTTATTATGTTTTTACTCACATGAACTCTTGTTAGTGCACCTGTGTGAGAATAAGAAACAAACTCATTCTGTTCCAGCGCTTCTTTCATTTCATACATGTTGACCTTCGTTTTATGAGTTTGATCACATCTTATTGTAGAAACCTTTAAAAGCTAAAACCTTGAATCTGAAGTAAAGCAACACCTGGTTTATTACATGGATCATTAACAGCTGATGATAACCTGCTGAAATAATTTAGACCAGTGGTTTCCAAAGTTGCGGTTGGGACCCCTTTTTGTGTCATGAACATCAAGTGAGGGTCCCCAGATGATTTCCAGACATCAATTTAAATACAAATAAATAGTTAATGTCATATTTTCACCATAATTATTGCAAAAAAATTTCAATAATAAATGAAAAGTAGTATAGTTATTAAGTGTGCTTATGTTATGTCCATGTTTAACAGTTAACTAAATTTTCATAAATAAACCAGTGATATTTAAAAGGGGGTCTCTGCAGTCAAGTMGGAGGTTCTTCTTATGTGGGAGGAGTTTGTCATGATTGGTCTGTTTTACTTTCGTAGGAAGAAGCTGGGGATTCTAGTCAGGATTTGAGACCTCGCCGAGGTCAATAAATTATATTTATAATGTTCACAATAATTTTCCTGATTAGCTTTACTTCCTCTTTTAAGTTGCCCCACAACACGAGTCAACGTGACCAATCACGATTCAGTTAAACTCCGCCCACACTCAACCTCTGCCAATCATAGTTAGGACAAAGTCAGTCCACATAACAAGAAACTCTCACTGTGGACTGCAGAGAGCCCTGCTTGGTAATAACTGGGGTCGTAAGTTTCTGCAACTGTTATTTTGTGAGCTGGAAGCTAAAAAGTTTAAAACCACAGATTTAGTCCCTTGAAGATGAGTGAACTCTTTTCCTCACATTACCCCAAAGTAGTGTGACGGTATATAAAAATGATGCGGGTTTAAGTAAAGAAATCAGCCTCGACTTAACAATATATAATTTATTTACAACAATTTTCCGATTGAATTACTATACATACGTTTCTGAAATGTCATAGATAGATATATATACATAAGGCCAAGTAAATACTTGAAAGCACTTAGAAACGAATTTCCAAAATTCTACCCACAAATCCATATCATTGTCCAAAGAGTACAGAAAAAAATCTCCCTTGGCGGAAGGTTTTGTTCCACTGCCACAAAAGATTTGACAACATTTTACACTGACGATAAGAAACACAAAAAGGTAAAAAAATAAAAAAAAATGAAAAAGAAAGAAAACAATAGAAGGYTTATACAATTGCATAAGCGCTGTGGCGTGTAATAAATACAGCATTTTTGACTTGCAGAAAGGCAAGAAAACATTGAACCAAGGAACTAAATAGAAACCCATTCACAAGTACAGAAATCTATTGTTCTTAGTTCAAAACAAAACAGTTCAGTCAGTGACAGAGAGCACACACCCAGCTTCACACATACACACACAAACATGAGCACGTCCTCGACACTGAATAGTAATGAGTGACAGTACAGTGCTGACATAACGGGAGGGAGGTGAAACTACAGTAGAAACCTCGTGTAACGGACACGTGTCTCACACAGAACCGTCAGACCAGAAAGATWTTTATCGTGAAGGAAACAGAATTCATCACAGATCTMTTGGACCAGTCYGACGTGAAGATRGATGCAGAACATCCAGGCGGCTGGTGAGTTACATTACTGAAATGTGCTTAGGCGACACAACCAAGACAATGACAAGGGTGCTGAAATTTCACACACACACACACACGCACACAATCACAAACACACAAACACACAGTCTGACTGTACAACTGCCATGGCTCATCTAAACATGCTGTGTCAACATCGGCCCGTCACCGCCCGAGGACTGATGTCCTCCTGTGATTAGCCTTCACACAGTCCCAGAGAGGAGACTCGCTGTAACCCACCGCCGCGTGTTTAAATGCTTACAGTTAGAGGAGTGATCATCGGACACGGTGTGTGTGTGTGGATGCAGAACGAGGGCGAACAGAACGTGTAGAAAAACTTCCTGGAAAACGACCTCTAAACCCTTTAACACTGCAAATCACTGCTAGATCGCCAAAGAACAGTATTATAGGCAAACACGTCACGGTTTAGACTTGACAAATGCTGCGCCAGTTTTAAGTGTCTTCTTTTTTTTCCTGTTTTTTTCTTTTTTTTGGCTTCATATTAAAATATAATTTACATTTGTTTACAAAGTGATGAACTAGACACGTGATCAAACGAACAGCGTAGAACAGAAACAAAGGAGATAAAACAGTTTAGACAAAAATGGCAACACGGACTCTTATTCTACGCTAGCGGCAAGTAAAAACGGTGAACTCAAACAATGTTTCTAAAACTTTGGTTACCAACTCTGCTGATATACAGTATGTAAAGTGACAGCACACAGCTGCTATAGAAAAAGTATTTACATGTTACAATGTGGCGACGATTTAGAGTAATCATCGTTTTGTTTGATAAGGGAAATAATCCAAGGGCTTCCTTAAAAATCAGATTTTATGGCATCTCCATATAAAAAAGGGGGGTTGTGAGTTTTCACGAGGGGGTGGCGTGTTCAGGAGCAGAGAGGCCGCGTAAAACTAAACGAAGCCACCAAAAAGACTAAATAAAAGCTTTCCGAGTTTTAAAAAGCAGGAACAGAAAAGGGAGGTACTAAAAGAAATTTACAGTGAAGAGAATAAATATTTAATACCCTGATGATTTTTAAAGTTTGCCCACCTACTAAAAGTCTTGAATCATCTTTACAGTTTCATTTTAAGGGACAGACTGTCAACAAAGAGATTAAAAAAAAGAAAAGCCGAGCATCTCTGCTAAGAGCACAGGATGACTTCACTCAATCTACCGTCAAACTCTGGACAAGCACAGGGCTGCACAGTAATACAGTAAAAAACATGAATCTGAGACAAAAGAGAGAATCGATGTGAGTTTTCAGAAATCTAGCATCGCTGAACCAAAAGAGACGTGGAGCAGAACTCCATGGACATTTCTCTACTATTGTTTTCAACCCAATCAATTAACTCAGTTTAGTCATTTTCTTGATGGTTAACTATTTTTTTTAACTAAATACGAAGTTATGTCAGCATCGATTTTCCCTTAGTTACCCCTATAATCAAACTGGAATAAACTAGTCTGGAGGGGGGGCGGGGCATGAAGCACCTCGTTTAGATWAAAAAAAAGAACAGAATCAAAACGAGTTGATCTGAAAAACGCCTCAGAAAAGAGGTGAAAGAGGGGCTTGTGGAGTTACAATAGGGAGTAATTCAGATCAAAGCATTGATGTTCCACTTTATATAGACCCCAACTGAAGGATTTAAATGTAAAAAAAGAAGGATTTGAAAGTATCATATGCCCACTTTAAAGTGATGTGGTCTATTTTCCAGATATTTGATGTCTGTCCATAAATGAAGCCATAAAAATTCAGAGACTTGATCATTTCTTTGTTAGTGAACAAACACAAAAACAGCAAGGATCAAATCATTACCTCGCCCCTGTAAATACACATTCCATATGTTTGACAATCATAAAAGAGGCGCCACTTAACCTTAAAGAAATCACCGTCAGTGGTACGAAGGATCTGAAGGGTTTCGGGCTTTTTTCTTTACAACTTGAAACAGACAACTTCACATGCAACCCTGAGGCAGACACTGAACTATGGCTAGTTTACTCACACCTGGCACACTGCTGAACCTGTGGGGGTTTATTCCAACTGTCGTCATGTTGCCTGATTTAACAGATTCATTACTAAGACGTTACTGTGTAAATCAGAGATAGCAGCAAAACTGTAAAGAGAAACACGTGTAGTTGCCAGGTTTAAAACAAAGACAAATAAGAAACTCCGGTGYGCAGAGGAGTGACTTTATGAATCTGCCTTCTTCAGCTCTGATGCAGAAATACTGTTTGCCACGCAGCAAATATTGAATTCCCACTCAAATTGCTTTATAAATAATATAAACAAAGCTGCAAAATTACCCTTTTAACATGACCGAGGATTTACTTGTTTTTGGATTTTCAGGGGCAAAGTGCGCTACATTATTGATACAGAATATTAACCCCTTCTTTTGGCCCGGAGAGTTAACGCCGTCGAGGAGGTGGGCAGCGATGATGTTTTTTAAAAAAACGAGTTTTGATGACATTCAGTGTTCACACAGAACGCCTTTCTGGCGCTATGGCTCCTTCGTTAGCTGTGATACCTTAAACACACCAGGATGAGCGACGGAACAAAGCTCATCGGTTTAAAGAAGAAGAAAACAGGATTTAAATAGAAATGACATCTGAGATACGGCTTCAGTGAAGATACAACGTAACGAGCTCGTCGCTTTAAAAAATGAAAAAAAAGAGGCTGAACTTCACACGTTTTGATTTCGAAGCAGAAGAAGCTGCGGAGCGTCTCTCTGAATCAAGATGTCAAGATGTTACATTCACAGTAGTGAAACCGGCTGGAGCACAAAGAACACACAGAGCCAGAGGAGAAGCCGACAGGACGTGCTACGGGTCGCGTCGCGTGTTCCGCGGATTGTTCGTGACCAAAAAAAAAAAAAAAACGTGTCGCCGCCTTCGTGAGAATGTGTCAGAGATAATGTGGAGTTAATCTGCCAATTGCATATTTGACGTTCCCCTTTATTTGACCTGAAATGACCGACACCCTTTCTTTAAAAACAAGGTTTTGAAGCTGAGTTCTTCTATTTGCATATTGCTCCGTCTTACTGAAACAAAGATTAATTTATGGTTATGTTTATAACTCTGCAGGTGAGAGCTCGGAAATGTTAAAAATCTTTGATGGAAAAATAAGAGGTGTTTTTTTCTTTTTCTCCCACACATTTCAATTCTTCCTAATTCAATCTTCCTTTTAAAGACTTTTACTCTGAAAGGATAAAGGGACTTTTACATCTCAAGTGAAGGGGGAAAAAAAGGGACGTTGGGAAAGCGCTGCGCTTCGTTTCCTGCTGCTCTTTTTATCCTCTTGTTCCTGCACGTTTGCTGTGTCCTCTGTCCCCGTTTCTGGGTTAGCACTCGCCGTCCGAGACCAGGAAGATCATGGCTTCCTGTTTGCCGATGTCAGCCATGACCGCGGCCAGCTGGTTGATGTTGCCGCTGTGGAAATGCTGCGCCTCCCACAGGTCCAGGATCACAGAGGTCGGGCTCGCTTTGGATGCAAAGAAACTCATGTGTCTGCAGCGGCGGAGAGACAAGAGGAGGCAGAAATCAGAGTGAGAGGATAATGAGAGATCAGACAAAAGAAGGCATCAGACAAGGACACATTTCCATTTTTCTCTGCAGCACCATGTTTTGTGCTGCTGGAACTCTAGTGCATCCAGAATGGTTCAAAATGAACACTTTATTATATTTTATAGTCATTGCCTTTAAAGGGATCCATGATTAGTCATAACTTTAGACTTTATTTGATAAACATATATTTTAACTGTAAAATAAAGACTGTAAAATACTGTAGGCTGTTTAGTTTTTATCATTTTTAAAAATATATTTTAATATGGACGAGCCATTTTATTTACGCACAAAGCATTCTGGGTAAATGATGACGTGGATAGGTCCTCAGTGTGAGTGAACTACAGTATATCCACCCTGAAGGTTAATCTTGGACAATATCTGATGATCGACTCTTTTAAATGAAACCAGAGAGCGTTGACAGAGAGGAGAAGGTAGAAATGACTCAGCCTGTAACTGAAAATATYGATGGAGGACCTCAGTTTAGCTTGTTTGTCGCACTAGCACCGAGCTAATACATATAAGGCAATATAGGGTCAGCGCTAGCACAAAGGCTAACAGGCTAAGCTGAGGTTCTTCTTCCATGAAGCAGCTCTGTTGTCCTCCATCTATATTTTCAGTTACAGGCTGAGTCATTTCTACCTTCTCCTCTCTGTCAACGCTCTCTGGTTTCATTTAAAAGAGTCAATCATCAGATATTGTCCAAGATTAACCTTCAGGGTGGATATAGCTCGCTCACGCTGATGACCTATCCACATCATCATTTACCCAGAATGCTTTGCGTGTAAATAAAATGGCCCCGTCCTGGTAATATATTTTTAAATTTTTAGTTTAAAAATGATAAAAACGAAACATATGTCAGAGCGGACATTAAATTACCCCTTAAAAAGAAATAAACCAGGCAGAGATGTAAGCATTCAGTTTTAAGAGCTTTCTCTTTGCAAAGAGTGAGAAATTTCTGAGGACGCTTAAAAAAAGGTCTCACCAGAAAGTTCTGACCTCCGCTGGGAAAATCTGTACAATTTATTACAAGCAGAGCACAGAGAGAAACATCAACATCCTACAGTATTTTTACAGTCATTATTTTACAGTTAAAATATATGTTTATTAAATAAAGTCTAATTTTACAACTAATCACGGATCCCTTTAAATAAAGTTTTTTTGGGGGGAGGTGGGGTTGTGCACTGTAGACCACTGTGACGCAGTCTGGCTTTTTATCCCCTACATTTTATTTAAGTAGATTTAAAATCAGTACGTTTACACTTTTACTTGTGTAAAAAGCTTGAGCTGATACTTCTACTTAAAAAAGTATTTTTAAAACTAATATCTGAGCTCTGGAAGCTGCCATCAAACAACCAAGATTAGGATTTTTATTTAGAAGTTAACAACATAACCTTCATTTCTCTTGATTTGAAGCTGAAATTGCCCCTAAATCCCCAGCAGTAAATCCTTTACAGTTAAGTCGGATGTGACCTTTTCTCTTTTTGATCAAACCCAATCAATGACAACAAAGCAGCGGCCCCGGCTGGCTGTATATTTGATGTTGCGTGGGACCTGATCCCCACAGTACCCAAAGATGTTTGATTTAATGGCTTTTTTCTGTTCTCCAAATGTCCCGGGCCTCAAGTGTTCGGCAGGCAGACAGGAAAACACAGACTACTTTTCTTTTTTTAAGAAAAGGTCTGAGTCTGTTGTTGTTTTTCCTTTTCCTTGTTCCTTCTGTCTGGAGCTTTTCTGTGATGGTTTTAAACACATGACTGGTTTGGCTGCACCGATAACACTGTCAGTCTGCCATTTTGAGCCAGCTGGATTTGTATAGCACAAACAGCTCTTCCTCTGCGCTACAAGTGAACAACACAAACGTGTGTTGGTCAAAAACTGTGTGGAGATGAGCATCTGTGTCATTATTCTGATAGAAAGAAAAAAAAAACATGTCAGGCTTACTTATTCACCTCGCTGTGCGAAACACCAGCTTATCTTGTACGGCTCAGACAGCCGCTCGCGCAGCCTTGGGAGAGAAAGATCAAATAAAAGGTTCTTGGCATTTTAAGTTTTATCGATCGGTCCCGTTCTGCCCGGGCTGAACGCTTTGCTCCGTCAGAAACAAACAGAGAAATGCGGCGTGACAGAATGCCGAGCGGCTGCTGCCTTTTCAGGAAAACACGTTGTTAAGGACGGATCAAACAACAAAGAAGCTGTTCCTCCCTTTAAGACCGAAATGAGAATTGATTATGTTGAGCACAACGTCGCTAATTAAAGCCGTAGTGCATCTGTTGCATTTGTAATTAATTGGGCTAAATAAAGTTGATTGGACGAACCGAGCGCTGCTATTTGATTTCATTACCAGGGAGAAATTAAATTGGGAGGATGAAGGATCAATGGGCTGGCTCCTCTCGCTTCCTCACGCTGCGGGTGATAAAGTACAGTAGCCGAGGGAACAAATTGGTCCGAGGTCGGCACAGATCCAAGCCCGCTCCGTCTTTTTCTGCCGCTGACGGGCAGCTCGCTCGCAGCCTGTCCAATTACAGCTGTTAAGCAGAATGTCGTGGGCAGAAGTTTAGCAACAGACTTTAAGCTGCTTACCTGGTTCTGATGGGGGGGAGGAAGACGGGGGGTCATGTTTTCCTCGCAGAAATGATAGCTATATCCATCAAGTCCACATTAATCCTATAAAGTTAGCCGAGCCGAAAGAGGATTAGTTTGCTAAGGCGTTACCTTGTTTACCTGAACTTTGGGACAAACACTTAAATGTGGCGATGCACTTCACACCGACTGATGATGAAGGCTTCTACACGTGTGACCAGGAAGTTTCAGCTCCGGCTTAAGAGTTTGTATATCTGAGGCTCTTCATGGTCTAAGCCTCTGCCATCAGGTGAGGACTGAAGACAAAGACAGCAGCTGTGTTTCCATCCAGGTTTTTTGTGCTCATTTTGAAGTATTGCTTTAGGAAAGGTGGATGGAAATGGCAAAATAAAAAACAACTGTTTTTACACTAATTTGAGGTGGTTTTTGAATCTTCTGAAAAAGGGGTGATATAAAAGGGGAGCTGGAAACATGTTTGCTWAATAAGTTCTGACGTAGTGAACATTTACCTCACATGACTGATCAGCTGTTCTTGCTGACGGCGTCCTGATATTCCCGTAACACAAAGAGAATTACATTTCTTTCTCTAAGTCTCCAGACAGCATGTAACATCGCCAGTACTAGTTGACATGACAGAACAATTCCAACTTGCCCAATAGAAACACACATGATAACTGAGACGTGTGTCCCTGTGTTTGTGACTTCTACTTCCTGTTTACTACAGCCATGCATAACACCGTCTGATGTAATTACTTTGTGAAGCCTGGTTGATTCGCTCCAAGACAGTAGATGGAAACGCCCGATTTGCATTTCTTTTCCTATTTTGCAACTTTTTAAAAGTTGGCTCAAAATTGGCATTAAAGTTGGAAACACGGTTTGTGTTTACCTTTCAAGTTTGAGTCTTTGTGCCAGCATTCTCCAGTCGGCTCCGTTGGGACAGGGGGCGTCCAGGCTGCTGCAGATCTTCTGCCTGATGAGGTACGGGATCTGAAAGGCGCTGGGTCCCGCCAGGGCTGTGGCGTTACTGTCCCTTAACAGAAACTCTGAGTCCACCGCTCGAGTGTCCTGATGGGAGCACAAGCAACACGGATTGGTGTTTCACTCAAGTTACGAAGGAAACTAGGACTTGTTGAGCGATAAAGTTTAATCAAATAACTTGGGGGATCTTGGGGTTTTCTGGTCAGACACTGATTGAATGGTATGTGCATATGTGTATATCTATCTATCTATCTATCTATCTATCTATCTATCTAT